GGGGGGGGGCTGAGGGAGGATTGTCTGCTCAACCTGGGGCAGGTACACAAACCACCAGAACATCAAGATTACTAACGACTGTGCCACAAAAGACATCGAGCGTATGATAGCGGATCGTGGGGCTGGACAGGGAAAGGGAAGGCCCTCGTGGAGGAGAGGAAAGGGGGGGGGGGGTCTCGGGCCTAAACTGAGTGCCAGGGCGATCCCATGAGAGAGGATAATGTATACACTGCTCTGATTCAAAGCAGGTGTGTGTCAATCGGATGTGCCCGCGCTCTGCTGCGTGACGCTCTGTGCTACATTCCGCCCTTCTAGGTGGGGGTAGTTTGAACGTTTGAACTCATGCGGCCGGCGCGGGCGGCACTTTGCCCTCGCTGCCCTTGTGGCGCAGGGGTGTTCAGAGCACTGTGCGATAACAATGAATGCAAGTAGCCGAGGTTACCGGGCCGCGCCGGCGGACAACTTGCGGGGGGACTGTTATGGTGGCACGAAGACACCATGGGGGCAGTTCCTTGCAAGTTCGACAGCACATCAGCGTACGAGCCGGCCCCACCCCCCGAGCCCGTCCCACCCCCCGAGCCCTTCGTGCCCCTTGCCGCCATTGAGGTGGACGAGGATTACCTCGCTCCCGCCCCCGCTTCCGTGTGCCCTTCTCGCAGTCACACCGCGGGTGCCGCGGACTCCGAAGTCCGCGGTGCGCCCATCGGCCCTCCCGTCTCCGTCCGGCACGTCCACCCCGCGAGCAGCACCACGACCACCTGTGCCGCATGCTGCGCTGCTGCTGGTGCTGGCCGAGATCGTGCCGCGGCCGCGCGGGTGTCGCCGTGTCGCGGTCGGGGCCGCGGCCGTAGGCGTGTCGCGCCCCGTGCCCTGTTCTCCCTCCACCGTGGGGAGGATCGTCTTCTTAACCTGGGGCAGGTATACACAAACCACCAGAACATCAAGACTACTAACGACTGCGCCCACAAACGACATCGAGAGTATGATAGCGGATTTGGAGCTAGACAGGGAAGGCCCTCGTGGGGGAGAGGAGGGGGGGGGGGGCGTCTTGGACCTAAAGTGAGTACCAGGGCGTACCCATGAGAGAGGTGAATGAAAACACTGCTCTGATTCAAAGCAGGCGTGTGTCGATCGGATGTGTCCGCGCTCTGCTGCGTGACGCTCTGTGCTACATTCCGGCCCTTCTAGGGGGGGTCCATGCCCTGCCACACGGCCTGCCTGACCCAATTCACGAAAGTGCCCGCGCGTACCAGGAGCGGGGCCGCCCCGCCGAAAGGGCCCCGGCCCCGGCCGGAGAGCCCCGGCGGATCAACGCTCGGCACGGCAATGCGCGGATCCGCGCCCTAATGCAAGTCTACGAGTGCAACAGAGACGGCTGAGGGGCGCCCTGGGGCACCCTGCAGGGCCCCCGCGTTGGGGTGGGTGGCAGTAGCAGGGCTGGAACTACTGGAGGCAGCTGGGCGCTGCGCCTCACGCAGCAGCTAAACTCGCCGTTTCGGAGCAAATGGCACAACAGCCCCGAACTTTCATAGGAGCGCCAGCCCAAAAAGAGAATGTATACAAAGGGCAATGTGGTCTCTCGATGGTCTCAGGTCTTCAGGGGGCCCGTCGTGTCGTGTGCGAGAAAGTATTGGATCAGACACGAGATCTTGGATTATGCGGGTATCAAAGACTGACTACAGTGATAATTTCATGCAGTTTCCTTCTCACTAACTTAACAGTACTTGCTACGTAAAGGTATACCAATGGTGATGAACTCTCTTTCACATCTGAACTGTCGCGCGAACTAAAATATGATATCCGGTTTTTCCGCCTTCTTTTCCGGTTTGACCAGCTGACAGTCACTTGTTGAATAAATGTTAGCACAACAAACGATTAATTAATTACAGACTGCCGTCTTTATTGCAATCTTTGTTTTTGACCTCCCTGTTTCTCTCCTCACAGACTGAGACGGGATATTCTCTCAGATTTCGCAATATTCTTCAGGAAAATAGAAAGATTTAGGTTAAGACGGCAGAGCTAGCATAGCCAACATATAATATAATAATTATTCGTAAGAAATAACGTTTTTAAGTATAAACGACGAGCGGATTTTATATTAACACATGGAATTGAGTTTGTTGCAAAAGTTTACTGGCGGGTCACTTAGTAAAAAGAAGTTATTGTCTTTTTAGGAAGCTACGCAAGTGTTGTCTTGTTGGTCAACACTTTGTTGTGGTAAGTGTGTTGACCAATCAGTGAGCAGACCACGGCCGTTGGAGGGAACGGCTGAAGTGCAAATAACGCATTCGAAAGTTTGAAAGCCTGAACCGGCTCCAGTGCAGCCCGGCGCCCAGCCCCTTCATCAGACTTTGTGTTGTAGGACCTAGCAAGCGTGGTAAAGAAGACATCAGAAAACATGTCGAAGATGGATGATGGAAAAGAAATCCCGGATATAATTATTGATCCGGGAACCAGGACCACCTACAAGAAAGGCAGATTCTTCGGAAAGGCATGTACAAGTAGATTAGGAATTAAACGTATCCTGCTCAAGCTGCTCATGGCAGCTGAGTTGCAACCGTTACGTCTCACTGCGTGACCGTTAGGCCCGGGCTTTTCAGTCTGCATTTTATACATCACCTCGAGCACACCAATTTCAGACTATGAAAACCCTTCAATCGTCATACTCCCCTACGTTCAAAATCCGAAACTATTGGTCCAGTATACAAGAAGTTGGTATTGGATTTTGGTTGTTGGCCACTGAGAGGTTTGCCTCCAATATTATTTTGATCCATTGTCAGTTTAGAAACATTTACCACTACCATATCAGAATTTCTTTGTTTTTTCTTGGTAAAGCTTCATGTTCCACTGTTTTGGTTTTCACCTGCTGTATTAAATGAATACGAGTCAATTTCATTGAGTCTCGTGAACGGTTGTTGACTGTTGAGCTGTTGCTGATTAAGTGTTTGTTTTCTTTAGGGAGGATTTGCAAAATGCTATGAAATCACTGATGTCAAATCTGGAGCTGTTTATGCTGGGAAGATTATACCGAAGAAATTGATGACTAAACACAACCAAAGGGAAAAGATTACTCAAGAAATTGCCATTCATCGAAGTATGAATCACAAACATGTTGTTGGCTTCCATGGTTTCTTTGAAGATGATCAGAATATTTACATTGTGTTAGAACTCTGCCGGAAAAGGGTATGTATTGAATGTGGAAACAAGTGTTAATAATCAGGAGTTGTTTCAGAATTTCTGTACTTTTCCTTGTTTTAGTCCATGATGGAACTTCACAAGCGACGAAAGGCCCTAACCGAGCCAGAAACAAGATACTATCTCCGACAGATTCTTCTTGGAGTTCTCTACCTACATGAACATCATATTATCCATAGAGATCTGAAACTGGGAAATTTATTCCTAAATGATGATATGGAGGTCAAGATTGGTGACTTTGGGCTTGCTGCTAAACTAGAGTTTGATGGAGAGAGAAAGAAGCAAGTATCAATTCTTAATTTTGCTGATTTCTTTATCACAGTAAACAATTGGCTAACAGGCTGCAAATTTTCAGGACTCTTTGTGGTACGCCAAATTATATTGCTCCAGAAATTTTACAGAAAAGGGGTCACAGTTATGAAGTAGATGTGTGGTCCATAGGCTGTATCATGTAAGATTCTGTTGTTGTTGTTTTTTTGTGTTTTTTTTTTTTTTTTTTTTTTTTTTTTTTTTTTTTTTTTTTTTTTTTTTTTTTAAATGTCTATTGCTGTATTTGTCAGAATTTTTACTGATGATTTTGTTCTTTTTTGTTTGTAGGTACACCCTTCTTGCAGGAAAACCTCCATTTGAAACTAATTCCCTCAAGGAAACTTATGGGCGTATTAAGAGATGTGAATACGTTCTCCCAACCCATTTAAAGAAATCAGCATCATCTCTCATTAGCAAAATGCTTCAACCTGATCCTAAAGCTAGGCCTCGAGTGGATGAACTTCTGAATAGCAGTTTCTTTACTTCGGGTTGGTCCAAGCTGCTGTCTTCATCTTTAACTCAGCTACTTCAATCATGGTTTCTTGAAGATCTACAATTAATCATTTTTAACTTGCAGGGTACCTTCCACCACAGCTTCCTGTGTCTTGTCTTACAACTGCTCCAAGGTTTGACACCTTGGAGAATAAAAACTTACTGTCTCGCAAACCTCTCATTGAAGTTAATGGTTTGTATTTTTATCATCCAATCCATTGAAATTGTGTTTGTATCAAAGTATAAGTTGTTATTCATTGATTTCATTAGGAGGGGAAATTCAATCCAGTCCTTCTGGCAGAAAGCGTGGTGATGGTGGAAATCCCCGTGAAAGTATGCCTGCTGCTGGTGGACGAACAGTTGCATGCCCTACATTCAATTTCCGCAAACATCTGTCCTCTTTACGCTCTCAACTTGGTAATGTTCTGAAAAGTAATCCAGGAAACAAGGATGTTATCATGGGAGGTAAGTTTGATTCATGTGTTTCAGTATCATGGTTTGCATACTTAATGGAAACATTTATTTTCAACAAATGTACTGTTTACAAGCTTTTCAGTAACACATGGATTTGTTTTTATATCCTTTACAGATGAAATGTCTGATCCTGCAGCTTCACCCTTTGTATGGATTAGCAAGTGGGTTGATTACTCAGATAAATATGGATTTGGATACCAGCTGTGTGATGAAGGTGTTGGTGTTATGTTCAATGACACAACCAAATTAATTATGTTGCCTAATGGAAAGTAAGTATTCTTTAGTACTTTTTTTGTTTTATGTGTTTGTGCAAAATTTCATATTTTTTTGCTCTTCCAGAGATGTGCACTATATTGATAGAGATGGTTCTGAAAATTATTACACGGAAGAAAGTTTTCCTACAAATCTGGAAAAGAAAATGAAGCTACTAACGTACTTCAGAAGGTACATGAACGAGCATTTAGTGAAAGCAGGTGGATCTCTTGCTCCCAGAGAATGTGATTCACTTTCTCGAATACCTTACCTGCACACCTGGTTCCGCACACCGTCAGCGGTTGTCATGCATTTGACAAATGGAACTCTTCAGGTATGTAACCTTTGAAGAAGTAGTTATGTTTTTTATTTTTATTGTTTCATAACTTTTTAATTCTTTCTTGTCCGCAGATCAATTTCCTGGACCATACAAAGATAATCATGTGTCCTTTGATGGCAGCAGTAACATACCATGATGTGGATAAGAACATTCGCACCTTCAGGTTTTCATCAATTGAGTCAGGTGGATGCAGTCCTCAACTTGCTCAGAGTTTGCAGTATGCTTTTGAAAAGATCAATAAGATGATTACTTAGTCTTAGAGTGGAGTGAACTGTGATTCTTTAATTTGGGTTTTACTAAGACAAATGAATGACTTATAAATCAGATATTGCCATATGAGTTGATTACTCACTTTGTTGCGTAATTTGCTGATGGAAATTTAGCTTACTTACATACCAATTTTAAATAGTCTCTGATGTTTGAAGGCGAAGTCAGTATTCATTGAACTCTCATCTTCTGAGGAGCTTGTTGTCTCCATTATTATGGAGATGTATCAAATCGTTAAGAGATGCAGAGTTTCAAAGGAGTTTTTTGTTTTTTGTAATTGAAATCACTGCCTTTGACTTCACTTTTGTTAATTTAAAGTTTAGTGTGGGTAAGTATTGTTTAGGAAGTTTGTTTCTCCTATCGGATTAACAAACAAGAGTATTGTTTAAAAATCAAACCCTGCACTGTTTGCTGTTTTGTGTAATTGTGATAGTGTATTTGGTATCTACCAAACTGTTTTAGTATAAATCTATAGGACTTCTTTTATATTTTTAAATTTTTCTATTCGTGGCTGATGTTTTCTGTTCAAAACTGTTCAGAGACCTTTCAGTTTCACTTTTATTTGTTTGTAACCTGGAAGCATTCTGTAAATATCATCCTTTTTAAATAAACAAAAGTATTACTATTTTTAAAAAGAATGGTTGTTATTTCGGTACCAAGCATGGAGGAAATATTGAACTAGATAATAAATGTAATCACTCCAATATCTAATATATACAATTTATTTACAATTTTCTCCCTAAACTACAATTTTTAATTTCTTCAGTCACACACAACTTATTCAATATGAACAAGTGTCATTAGATAAGAACCAAACAGGTATTACACATGATACCCCCAACAAATGTGGTTAAGTCAAGATTAGATTCTATAAAAATTTGCTTTCCCCACTAGAGAATCTACTATCAAGGAACTGTGCCTTTTTGTAAATGGCTTTTTTCTGAGCATCATCAAAAACATTAGTTTTTAAGTCAGTATCTCTATTAAATGGACGACGTTCTTGCTTCACACCAGCCTTCTCTTTTTTCTGAAATGCCATAACAGAAGTTAAAAAGTTGTTGATATTTATTAATGTAAAAGTAAATTTATATTCTAAAAAGATAATAAATTAAATAGAACCCACCTTTTTCTCCTTCTCAATTTTCTTCTGATGAGCATCTAAAAGTGATTCCTTTGATCGCTTGTGTTTCTTTACTATAGCCTCCATGGATTTATCTTTACTTGACATAGTTTTTGACAAGGCTTCTTTCTTTACTTCTTCAGTGGAGGTTATACCAAGCTCAAACTGTTAAAAAGTTAAGTGAGAGTTGTAGGCTAATGCATGCTGAATGACAATCTATGACGAAACTGAATAAAATCTTTTAACTTACACGTCTTTTGGACTCTTCTTCTTTCCTTGCTTTATCCGCAGGAGTGTCAGTCCACATGGACCTATCAGCACCTTTCTCAGGTGCCCCTCTGGCACGGAAAGTGCGTGGCCCTAAGCCAAGATCAACTGTACCTTCAGGAGGCAGTTCAAGCATCCAATCCTCTCTTCTGTTAGCATCACTGCCAGGCAAGTCCTTCCAAACAAGTGAAAATTGATGTTAATTTTAACAATTTGGGTAGGAATTTATCAAACACACAGAAGTGGACTCAAAAAATTATAGAAACTTACCTTTTCTTCCAATTTGCGTTTTATTGCAGCAGCATTACGCTCCAACTGGGCTTGTACTACGTAGTTCTTCTCATTGCGTATCATTTCTCCAGGTAATAAAGGTCCAACAACCTCATCATCATCACTACTGACATCTCTTGCTTCTTCAGAGTACTTTGCAATATCTAAGCCAGGAGGGAGGGATGGGCCTAATATCAATGGTCTATTAAACTTAGGAGGCAACATTGGGCCAATATCAGCAGCATCCTCATCTGATTCCTCAGTTGCCTCTAGATGTGCAGGAATAGTTTGTCCAACTATGTTTGAAGTACTGGCTTCCCTAGACTGAAGGTGAGGAGGCAGTGCTGGACCTATACTGCTTTCACTCTTTTCCCCATCCCTATCGAATTCTCTCTTCAGATGAGGAGGAAGAGCAGGCCCTATAGAAAAGTTTTCTTCCTCAATTTGTGAAGTTCTGTCATTCAGACCAGGGGGCAATGCAGGCCCAATAGTATCTTTTGCCTTACTATGGTCTGATTTTATGAGATGAGGTGGCAGTGCTGGTCCTACAAGATCTATTTTATTTTCATTGATATTGAGCTCTGGTTCATCTTCAAATTCAGGGTACGTAAGATTTTCTGAAGATGATTGGAGTTTACTGGATTGATTTGAATTGGCACATAAAGCTAAGTTTTTACTTGATTCACCTGATTGCTCTTTGCTTGAATTGATGGGAAAACGTGGAGGTAAAGCAGGTCCTATTGTGTCGCTTTCCTCAGACCCTGACTCCTCCTTTTTACTTGTATCTTCCTCTTCACTATCAGAATTGTTTGATTTGTTTCCTCTTGTCCATTCCTGTTTGACATAGCTCTCGTCGTCATCAGATGACTCCTCGGTATCAGTATTGTAAGTTCTATCTGTTTTAGACCTTTTAGAGCGTTTCAGTGAGCTTGTATGTCCTTCCCTTTTTGCTGTCTCTAAATTTATCTTTTCTCTCTTCGATTGAACTCTTTCATCACTCTCTTGCTCTCTAGGCAAATGCCTATTCCCATATCTTTCATTTGAATATCTACTGGGTCTCTCCCTCTCTCTTCCTTTAAACTCATCTCTCCTACTCCTATCTCTTTCTCTGTCTCTGTCTCTTTCTCGATCTCTTTCTCTGTCTCTTTCCCTATCTCGTTCCCTTTCTCTATAACTCTTTCTATCTCTTTCTCTTTCTCTTTCCCTATCCCTTTCCCTTTCACTATACTTGTCTCTGTGTTTCCTTCTTCTTTCATCCTGCTCGTCATCATTCCTCTCTTCATCAAATGATCTCATATGAGGGGGCAGTGCAGGACCTATATCTCGTGATGACATGTTGAAGGATTCTGGAACAAACATTAAGCGTAAGAAATCAAAATAATGGATGTGTTGGCTTGTACAAAGGCTTTCTGATATCAGAAATTTTTGTCATAATAATTCTGTTTATTATAACACTTAAAAAACCACAAGGTCAGTTACAACCATAAAATAATAGTGAACGATAGGCTATAGGAAACAAGAGAAATAATCTAATAAAATAAATGATTGAGATGCAACAGCTCATTTTCAAAATTCAAAGCAGCATTAATGGGCCATTGGCCATTATGAAAATAATAGAAAGAATATTTTCTATTGTTATTTCTTTAAATGCATAACAACTATAGTCAATAAATTTAAACATGAGTAATTTTTGAATAATTTCAAACTCTTTTGAAATAACAATGTTTTCAATGCTATTTGTTTAACAAATTATGTGAGTAGAATACTGAACTTTGTAGAGGCATGAGGGAAACACGGAACCATTCTAACTTTTACTAATCAACTAAGCGGAGTTTCTAGCTTGAAAATTATGTTATAGTACCTTGACTTGTGCTCACACTTCTCTCCTTGTACTGGCTAACATTTTCTTAATTTTTTTGACACTGTACTGAATAGATTTTAAAATTCCAGCTGTTAAAATTCCTTTGAGACTTTGTCTGACGCTCGAAGCCCAAACTATGTCTTCAAGTCTACTTTGCAATATTGAACTACATTCCGGATCATGAGCTACAGCACGGAGAACATCTTCTGTATCTTGACGTAGATTCCCACTACCACGATTCCAGAACCGCACAAGTGCTCTTTGAGGAGCTCTTGGAAGTTGATTTAAATGGTGTAGCTTAGCAAGAGTGCCAGGATCTTGACAGCACAGCCCTGTTTCCTGAACATCCATATAATCATGAAGACTCTTGATAATTGGTCGGTATATTTCTTGGAATAGTGCAAACTGTGGTTCCAAAATATTTTCAACCTTGTTTTTGTCTTCCCCAAATGTCATACGAAAATCACCACGATACGACAGTTCTATTATAGTCCTATATAAAAGCTTCTCTGTGAAATGTTCAGGCAGCAGTAGAAGAGCACAATGAACAGCACTATGAAGATTTTTCTGGAGTGCAGAACGTAGTTCTGAATCACTAGTCGGTCGCACAATCTGGACAGGTTTATGCAATCGGCCAGCCAAATAAAGTTCACTCCAGTCTAGAAGGTCAGATACTAAAGACGTTTGAGAAACAACACCATATTTAATCATTACATTTTCTGAGGGAATTGGCACCAGAGTGTTGAAATACACCTTAGCACCCCAATGATCTTGGTAAGTGGCAACAGAGCCCTCGCCCATCCACTTGAGGAAAGAATAATGACTTGGGTTCATTTCGATATTTTTTCTGTGCCAGCTTAATGAGTCATTCACAGCAAAAATTAGATCAATCATGTTCGGGTTCTTGGAGTTTGATCCAGATTGTTTCACAACACCAGATCCGTAGGCAAAGCAGAAATTAATGTCAGGTGGGAATAGTGACAAAATTCGCGTATAAAAAGAGGGCACCCCAACAAGAGCCTTGGCGACAGCCATCGTAAGTCCTCTCTTTGAACGTCGTCGAAGAGTGACTAGAAGGAAAGCATACAATGACTATCTGTTTGGCAAATGCCAATTTTATGTGGAAAACATAACCTAACTTCCTCACCTACGCCGAACACTGCCGCCGAACAGACGAAGACGGGACGAGTGAAGACGAGGCAATCTTGTTTTTCTCTTTTGTGTGTTTTTTTTCTTCCAAGGTTAGTTCTTTGTTTTGATGTTCTTCTTTTCACCTACTGTCAACTGTCAGAAGGAGAAAGGCCAGGGGGAGGGGGAGGCAGGGGGATGCGTTATTTGAACAATTCGTACTACGTTTGAGCACCGTGCACCGAGCAATTACGGGAGAATCCTGGAGTGTCAGCTGGTATTCGTCTTTTCCCCTAGTTTTTACTTTAAGGCCGTATTCCGCGCTCAAATGTAAGCACACTTCTATCTTTAATAATATCTACACAGGATGTTTCTTCTGTGAACTATTTCCCTTCATTTTTCCTGTATAGAACTTCAAAGATGGATGGCAACAACCCACAAGATTTCAAAATATTTCAAGATAGTGTTGACAATTGTTCTTGGGCTACGATTTCTATAAGCAATGAGGTAGGAACTTCTCTAGAGCTGGATAATTCCGATGATGTTGAAGAGAGCCTCGACGATACCCTCCCCATAGAAGAAGTTGAAGAGTTGGGTGGGAAAAATAACAAGTATTTTGTGGAACATACCAATATTAATGGTATATATCAGTCTACCAATATGTTACCTATAAGAGCTATGTCAGCGTATGCTGGAGAAAGTCCAGCTCCTAAAGATATGAGAGAGTTTCAACCAGTGTATTGTTCTTCCTCAATCCAATCAGACTCAGCTGGTTCAAGTAAAGATAGTTTTGAATTTAGTCCACCATGCTGCTCCAGCAAACTTGATAATCAGTTGAAGTCTAGCAACTGTGGGATAGCTCAACATACTAGGGATACCCAACAAAATCCATTTGCAAACCACCACGCTCCTATCATTCGAGAAATTGCAAAGTTAAACCCATGCTTTGGACCACTACATAACATGAGGATGGGAAGTGCAGAATTTAAACCTAAAAAATGTTCAACCGCCCTCAGTGAGTCAGAATTTCAGATACCCTATGCTCCAACGGGACAGCAGGAAAGTTCGATATTTTTTGCACCGCTGCGCTGCTCAACAGGCATTACCAGGTCTGCTTCAATGAACCACGCATTGCCATCCGCCAAAGCAGACTTTGCTCCTCATCGATGCTCAACCGGCTTACAAGACAACTCCACTGCATTTATACCATTAAGATGCTCAACTGAAAACAATGAGTCTGCCATATTCAACCCCATACTTTCTTCTACTGCTACATCAAATGATGAGAGTAATATTCCGGAATTTAAATATTTGAGGATGGGAAGTGAAAAACGCTAAACAAAACGGTTTGATTAAATATGTACAAAATTAATTGTGTGTGTGTGTGTGTTTTTCAAAAAATTAGAGATAATCTTTGTATGTTTCTTTTTTATCAACATTTTATTATTTTATGGAGAGATGCAATGTATGTAAATGAATTTTAATAATAAATAAATGAGCGCGTACCGAGCGGCGCGATTCAAACCCTGAAGCGGGCTTTCAGCTATATTTACATGATCTCTTTCTTATTAAATTTCAGCACAACTTTGCTGTTGCTGCAAATATTATTCAACCGGTAGACGGCTTGTTGAATGGGTTGCCTACCCGTTCTTCCCTCAAGGCGTCAGGCTAGGCTTTGGTTATTTCGATAGACTTCACCTTTTTATCTCAAGTGAGGCTCATCCAGTTTTATTATCCCTAAAGAAATCACGTAAAGAGAGTTTTCTCCTAGTTTTTTTCTCAGCAAAAGAAGACCGCAAAACCAAAACCACCAAGTCCGCGTCGCGTGTTGCGTGTTGGGACTGTAGAACGCACTATACCCCCCACCCTCAAGACGTTTGCTGGTTTGCTGCTGCTGCTGGCATCAACATCCCACCACATGAACACACCCTCACATGTTATGGTTCGCATTCAACTTTAACCTTAGCAACTTCTTTTCTGCCGAGATTTGAGAATTACTTCAACGTACAACGAAAAGAAGAAATTACGTTGATTTGAAGTGCTGTTCTCAATAATCGAACCTCTGCAGTGCTTGAGGGCGTGATAATGTTTCTTCAACTCAAGGGGAAACCAAACTTTGTTAAATAAAAATAAAAATGTTCAGAATTTACAACGGCGTTAAATGGATGAAAATTATAATCTGCAGCGCATTTTGCGCGACAATAGGTAAGAGGGTGAAGAGAGTAGTTACTTTCTTCTTTTCATGATTTCTAAATGTTTAGTTATATTTTATTCTGTGCTGTCTTATATTACGAACCTCTCCTCTCTGTTATTGAACACTCAAGTTTGCTTTACTTCCCCTCTGTACTTTTCAGCATTATGTGTGTACCACAATTGGGTTCATGCCAGAGAAGTGGATATGTTGGAGGATAGTGCCCTGAAAGTGCACAGGAAAAGCAGGCATTACAGAGATGAACTGAGTTATCAAGAAAGTATAACGGATGGAGGACCCGAAAATTTGCCTGGTAAAATGAAGACTGATGAGAATATACTAGATCTTGAGGAAGCTAAGAAAAAAATCAGAGAATTGGAAATGCGAATAAAACAATTGGAAGGAAGCACAACACGGCGTTTCCCTGATGTAAAATTTCTTAATTATCGTACAAGAAAACGAATATTGGTAAGTAGTCTATCTGTTGTGAAGGAGGCCTATCTTAATTGTTACAGTCATTATCATAATTTTTTTTGTTACAGATAACAGGTGGTGCTGGATTTGTGGGATCACATCTAGTGGATCAATTGATGATGGAGGGCCATGAAGTAATTGTGGTTGACAACTTTTTTACTGGGCGCAAAAGAAATGTAGAACATTGGATCGGTCATGAAAATTTTGAACTTATACACCATGACATCGTCAACCCTCTTTTTATTGAGGTGGATGAAATTTATCATTTGGCAAGTCCTGCATCACCTCAACATTACATGTTCAACCCAGTTAAAACAATCAAGACAAACACTGTTGGCACCATTAATATGCTAGGTCAGTGTGTGGTGCCTTATGTTATCAATTCATATTAACACCATAAATTAGTTTTGTTTCACCTTCACCATGTTTTCTAAAATTTTGTTTCGGTATTAAGACTTTTTGTTTTATTTTTAAGGTCTTGCTAAGCGTGTTGGTGCTCGAGTGCTCATTGCAAGTACTTCAGAAGTCTATGGTGACCCAGAAGTGCATCCTCAGCCGGAAACATATTGGGGGCATGTAAATCCTATAGGTATAACACTGATCTAGAAAATGTCATTCTTTACCAAAATGAATCAATATATTTTATTTAGATTTGATCTATTTTCTTATCCTACAGGTCCTAGAGCATGTTATGATGAAGGCAAGCGAGTTTCTGAATCTTTAAGCTATGCTTACGCTAAGCAAGAAAAAGTTCAAGTAAGAGTAGCTAGAATATTTAACACGTATGGACCAAGGATGCACATGAATGATGGCAGAGTCGTCTCCAATTTCATCTTGCAGGCTCTCCGAAATGAACCCATAACTGTTAGTAGACATCATTACTTTTCTTGAATTGTCTCTTCCTTAACATTATACTCACTTCAAATTTTTTCCTGAAGATTTATGGACATGGAGAGCAAACAAGAAGTTTTCAGTATGTCAGTGACCTTGTAGAAGGCTTAGTATCTCTGATGGCATCAAATTATTCAATGCCTGTCAATCTTGGAAACCCTGTGGAATATGCTATTAAAGGTGGGTAATTACTATTTGCATGTATTCATGTTTCCTGTTAAGGCAAGTGACCAATTAGTTTGGTTGCATATCAATTGGTATGCCAAAGACAAAAGATTTACTTTGACTGTTCTATAAATGCAGTAAATATTGTTGTTTCTTTCCCCTTTTCTATCTATATTTAGATTTTGCTATTAAAATACGAGATTTAGTCGGTGGAAATAGCCATCTAATTTATTCAGATGCGGTGGAAGACGATCCTCAAAGAAGAAGACCGAATATAACAGTTGCTAGGAAGCAACTGAATTGGCAGCCAAAAGTAAGTGTTGCAATCTTAATATTTTTCACAGAAAATGCTTTTATCACTAACAAACTTTATTATTCTTTGATTCTGTTTTATTCCAGGTTAGCCTTCAACAAGGTTTGAAGAGGACCATTGACTTCTTTCACAAAGAGCTTCTGCGCTCAAGTCACTCCAATCGCAATATGTTTCAGCCGCCAGAAATGAGCCTTGATAATGCTTTTCCCAGTGAAAAGGTCTCAAAGACTGTAGCCAACTGAATTGAAGTTTTCCTGTTGCAGCTGTGATGTAGGAATGTTCCGCTCTAGACTTAAGCAGAAACATATCGAGAACATACTTGTCTCAGTATTTTCAGTATTGCATTGACTTTCTTAGTAGCAGTAATAAGGTTTTTAGGTGCTGTCTTTTGGTTGTATTTTTTTGTCTGTCGAAAATATTGTTTCTTTTGCTAGTCATTGGGATTTACATAAATGTTACTATATCTAACTTTCTCTGGGTTGTTAAGGTCTTGAGTCTGCATTGTTATTAGTTTGAAATTTTATGGGTTCCTCATTTGTAGACAGACTTTCTCTCTAAAGTTATGATTCTGAAAGACTTTATATTGCTAAGAAATTGTTAAAAACATGCAGGTTTTGATAATTCTACCTAGGTATCTCATTGCTGCCTGACAGACTTCATGTAAGAAACAAATTAACTACAGTATTACCTGGTTCACCTCTTGAATCACGTGGAGGGTGTCCCATATACCTCGAGTCCTTTTAAAAAGTTACTGTATGGTGGTCGGTTGGGCGGTCTGGTCTTACCTACCGTTGCTCCCCGTGGTGCCTTATGGCCCCGAGCAAGTAGGCAACCTGCCCTCACGCATGGATTAGGAACAGAATAGCCTTTTTCAAAAAAATGAAAAATAAATATAAGAGTATGAGGCGTACAGGATACCCTGTAATGTGGTTTACATTATGACGAAGTAATTACCGGATCAAAGATGAGGTTTAGTTTACTCTTTGTAATCTAGCAGAAATTTAGCATGTTCCTAAAGTTTATCAACATCTTTTGAAAAATGTATGTATACTGCTCTTCTTGTTTCAATGTTGCTGTTTTCTGTTTTTTGTTTTATTTCTCTTTGCATGTATGTGATAGATAGATAGGTGTAAATTGCAAATTAAGTGCTAATCAATTTTTAAAATGATATTAATTAACAATTGAAAACATTTTAGATATAATCCATTGTCTTTAATTTAAGTCCCAAATAACTTGTTTGGGAAAACAAGTTCTGTTCACCTAGATTACATTTAACTCTCTTATTTTGTTTTTTCAATGTCAAAAACACTGTTTGCAGTGCCATAGTAGCATGCATCAATGGCTATGCATTTGGTGTCCATACCGTGGATGAAGATGAAAATTGTGATGATATTTTATATTCTATTTTTATGTGACTTGTGATAATTGTCCTATAAAATAGATCATTTATTAGTGACTGTTATTTTTAGGTAATTTTGTTGACATACGCACATGAGTGCTGTGTGTGATTTTGGGTTACTACTATGTGTTTTCTTGTTACAGATTACTGTGTTATATTTCATTGACTTCTTTGTTTATAAAAAAGAACTTCCTCTGTCATTGGCCTATATTTCTTTTTGTTTCTAGGGTCATTTTGTGGTTGAATTCCTTTTTATCTAATTTTGTTAATAAATGTCTCTTTAAAAAAAATGAAAAGAAAGGATCAAATTTGTACCCCTCCCTCCCCCTTTTCTCCCTTCTACAAATGGCAGTAACTGACTGTGCACGTAGCTATAGGTGAACGGGAACTCTCAGTTCTCTTTACAGCGGAACCACGATAGAGCAACATCTCATGGATTACTGTAATCCGATTTACGGGCGAGGCAGGTGATCGCGGAATGGGGGAGGGGCACGTGACGGGGACGGGCACGACGAACTGCCCAGCCATTCGGTCGCCGCGCGCGCGCGAGGGGAAAACCTGCGCAATCGCCCGCGATTGAGTTTGCGACCAGATGCGTGGGGCTGCTGTTGCTGCAAGAAGAAAATCGTGCGATACATACATACCGTGCATTTATTGATGCCGCCAAAACGCGCACGTCATACCAGGTGGCTGATTTACGCCGCGCACTTTCGTAGTTATACTTACTGTACGGCATGCACGGGTGCGGGTGGGTTGCCAACTCGCACTGGGCCATAAGGAGCCGTGGGTAGCTGGGATAGGCAAACCCGCCCGCACCCCTGCATGCGGTACAGTAGTAAAACTACGAAAGTGCGTGGCGTGAATCAGCCACCCGGTACATTTCCATCACCCGCAGCCGCAGACACTCGACATAGGCATAAGGCACAACCGTGGATGCCGTCGTAACATTCATCTGGGCTGCTCGCTGGCTGAGCCCCGGGGGCCCTGGTCACAGACCGGAGGTCGCGGCCAGGTGGGTCATCGCTCCGGTCCCGGGGTCCCCCACACACGGGTAACCAACGAGAAGTGGGATTAGAGAGGGCGCACGGCCCGCACGGGCGGAGGAGGTGTCGGATGAAAGAACTCTCCTCCCGGCTTATACGCGATGCAAGCGTGTCTCATTAATCGACAAGGGCCTCTCTTCTAAGGCGGACATAGCCAGTGGAGAGCCGAGCCGATATCGGAGGGGAACAGGCGAAAGCCATCGTTTCGATATCGTGGCCTTTTCTCACCGGGGGTGGCTCGCGCGGAAGCGTGACCGGAACCAACAGGCCCCGGGACGCAGCCCCGCTCGGCAGACGGGTCGAGCGTGCTGCCTATCTGCCGGTCGGTGGGCGCTCGCTCGGCTTCCTTCCGGGCGGCGCGCGCGCGGCCAGCAGCGCGGCGGGGAGCGCAGCAGAGAGGGTTGATGATGCGACCACGCGGCGGGTTGGGACTGCAGGCGAGGTGGGCAGGCTGTATGCATTCACACACCTTCTGCCTGAGTCGAGGGCGACGGGGAACAGTTATCAGCCCGCCCGCTCCTCCGACCGAAATGTGCTTATGACCTATCATTTTAGCTTCCCCTCCTCCTGCTTGACTTGACAGTCTTTCGTACATTTAGATGTTAAGAAACTTAACGTAAACGCTCTCCAAGATGCCAACCAAAGGTCGTCGATCGCATCTTTCGTTTCGAGTACTACCTCCTCCGTAGAGGCACCCAGTCAGTCGCACCAATGGGGTCTGTTCATTCGGGCGCTGAATTTGGCAGGCCGAAGGGGGGGAGGGAGGGGCCTACCGGGGCGGGCCGGCCAGGCACCCCACCTCGCCTCACCTCACCTCACCGGCCCAGCGCGGCCCGGCGGGCCTGTGGGCCTCTCTGGCCTGGGCCTCACCGTGGAGCGTGGCGTGGCCGTCAGTCGTGGCTGAGGCTTGGTGCCGGCTAGAGGGCCCCCGCTCCGCTCCGCCCCGCGCCGCCCAAGAGGAGGCTCCCTGCTCCCGCTCACAGCCCCGCTCTCGCCGTGCTCTCACTCGCGCCCGCAGCGCCTCGCCAGCCGGTCGGAGGTCGCGCCGCCCCGTCGCGCCGCGGTCGCTCGTACTATACAGCGTAGCGCGCGCGCGCTCTCCCGTGAGTCTCTGTGAGCGCGTGTGTGAACCGGAGGGTGCGCGACCCCGAGGGTAGAGAAGTGTCAAACGTGTGTGATCGCCCCGTCCAACGGGCTGCATATCCGCTGCAACCACCTGCATATCGTCGCGGCCGACACTACTTCACACATCGCGGACATCGCAGAGACAGGTAAAGTGAGGGGCGAGGACACTTGTCCTCGAAGAGTGCGAGTTAGCAGTGTTCCCTGTCGCTGTGACACGAGCAATCCGCGACGAGGCCCGCGCGAATATTTCGCACAGCGCCTGCACAGTGATGATCCGCGGCGTGCGACCTTTTCTGTTGTTGTCTCGGGTATTGAAATACCGACCGCAACTCATTCTAGCGTCTCGCTTGTCCCTTTCTTTCTCTGTGCCCCCCACTTTTCCTCATCCGGAGGGCGCATTGATTCCCTGCTCTCGCCCGTCGCCCGTCATGTCCTGCATGCCCTGCCCCCTCCTTTTCATCGCCCGGGCCGACGGGACGCGGACGGGCCGCCCGGACAGCCCGCCCCGCCGCCTTCCTTGTCCTGCGCCTCAATTGAACCCTGTCATCTCCTTCAACTGATCTGGCACCGCGAGCTCTTCCTGCGCGCGCTCGCGCACGAGTGTGTGTGAGACAGAGAGAGAGAGAGGGGGGGGGGGAGTGTCTTTCGAACGCTCATCAGTGAGTGCAGGAGGGCAGAGCAGCACGATAATATCCAAGGTTACCTGAGCGGCGCTGCCCTCTACTCCCCCTCCCCCTTCCCCAATCCCCAACAACCACCCGGTCGAGCCTGATGATGGCGCCTATACTTCTCCAGCGACGTAAGGTTGTGCTGTATGTGTATACTCCGTCTGACTCCGCCATTTCGTTTTTTCGTGTTTTGGGTGCGAATTTTCTTTTTTGTACGATTATTTTTCCTTGGCGTGCGTTCATTTTATTTTCTGGGTGTTTTTTTTCCTTCATACGCGCTCACTCACTCACACACTCGCACACATTCACGCCACTTCGAGACTCACACTCGTCCATCACAGACTCCCTCCTTCCTGGCCTCTCCTTCCCCCCTACCCTTCCCCTTTCGTCTCCTCCCCTATCCCCGACTCCCCGCGCACTCTTTGCTGCTCCATCTTTTGCGCAATTCGTATAGTCGTGGGGAAGAACGAGATGGAGAGTTGGAGAGAGAAAGGGTCGTGAAGGACAGGAAGAGAAATTATGAGAGTGTGGGGAAGTCTTCTCATTGCTCATCTCACCGCCGTATACCGCCGCGCCAATCCGTCTGTCACACCTTCTTGTTTTTCTTGTTTTCTTTTTGTTGTTGCTCGGGAGGAGGAGGTCAAAGCTTAATCGAACGTCACATAAAAAGAGCAACGCGAACACCACACACTGTTTATTGTCGGTATTTTCTTTTTCCAACATTAACAACATTTTTATGCATCTTATTATTGGGAGGAGCCGGCAAAAGGAAGCCAGGGGCGCAACTCGGGGGCGCGGGGCTGGCGGTCCCGGGAGGTGTGCGCTGGCCGCAGCTGTAGGAATACACACAGTGCACACACACACACAGCACACACACAGGCGCACGCCGAGATGGCGAGACTAATCTTTTGTTGAATGCGCGGGGGGTGGCGAGCCGACAGCATCGTGGACCGCACAACAGTATGAGGAGAGGAGAGGGAGGGTGGGAGGGTACAGGGCAGAAAACAAACTGCACGATTCCTGATGAATGGGACGGGGAGGGGGGGGGGGGTCTTTTTTCCGGTATACGGTACGGTTCATTTTTTTTCTGTTTCTTTTTATGCATTCTCATTTTTATTTCTTCTTCCTTTTACTTCCCCGGTGGTGGCTCCATACACAACACTTCGCTAAGCCGGCGCGCAGCATAAGCGACCTTTTCCTCGCGCCGATTTCACGGATGAGCACGCGAATGGGGCGCGCTCCCGGCGTGCTAGGCTAAGCCACCCAGCTCAGCGACACCCCGCCGGAGCCGGACCGGGCAGAAGTGTTTTTACCACTGTTATACAACTTTGCCGTTGATCGGCCGCGTTTTGCAGTGCTGTTGCGGGGTGCGGCCGCCGCGGTGTGTGGCTGGCAGCAGTAGCGCCGCGCTCCGCGCCCCCCGATCGCGCGCCGGGCAGAAGCAAACCGTCTCCATGAAAATCAATAGTCACTTACTAATCAAATCACCTGTCCTGTCCGGCTGGAGAGAGCCTCGGTGCGGAGGAGGCCGCGGGCCAGCAGGTGGGCGATGAGGAGGCCGTCAGGCCCGCGCGGCCGCGCCGTGGGCGATGGGGCGATAGGTCAGAATGGATCGTGGCGGGGCGGGGCGGGGCGGGGACTGTGCCGGGGATAAACGGGTCGGCGAGGCCTCAACTTTCAAGGTCGGGCGAGGTCGAGAGGTCGAGAGGTTGGGCCGAACGGCAAAGGGCTTTGCGAGACGGGGGCAGCGCGGAGCGGGTGGGGCTGCGCAAGGCTGAGCACCGCACCGCACCACCACAACCAACCATATCCCCATAGCGAGTGTGAGAGCGATAGAGAGAGCGAAAGATACAGAGTGAGAGATACTGAATACTAAAGATGGAGGGATAGAGGGAAGGGCGCAGCCGGCGTGGTGCGCCCCCGGGTAGTAGGCAACCCGGATGCGCGCCGGCGAGCGGGTGGCCTATGCGCCTGCCTGCCGGGGCCGGACGGGGCCGGACCAGGGGTGCGTCTTCTCCTCAAGAGTCGCCCCGCCCCGCTGCTTCTCGCCAAACCCCCTCTATACCCGGGGGCCCGAGGGTTGGCCGCGCGGGGTCGCGGAGGGGG